CTCGCTGCCAGCGCGAGGTCCCCTCTTGGGATGTTGGATGTTTCGTGTTAATTTCACTCTGTGTGGTGAAAAGAAAATGAGTCAAATTCAGCTTCACAGCTGAGGCAACTGGGAATGAAACCTCTCTGCTGCTGTTCTCAGAAAGCTGGCCCTGGCAGGGATGGAGGGTGGGAGCTGGGGGAGGGAAGGCTAGGACCCAAAACTGCCTTTCACACTCACATTCAGCTAGATTTTGAGTTGAGTCTCTTGAGATAGAGCGGTGCTGCTGGATTCTCCGCTTGTTTATTGCTCTGGTTTCTTTATTGTTCATTTGCTATAGGCGGTTGAGGTTGCAAAAGGAGACAGTAGTTCCTTCACCAAGCGTGACTCAGCCTGACATCCACCAGTGTCATAGGGCTGCACTGGTCAGAGTGTCGCAGCTTGAGGGGCCTGGGTGGGCTAGCGCCTGGGGATGCAAATTACCACGGGTGTGAAAGGGCCTTTTTTCTCCCCAGCTAGGGTGGTTCTTTCCCCATGCTCTCCCTAATACGCATGCACTTACTACTTTGCTAATGATGTGGTTTTGGTCTGTGGTTCCATATTCTCTTGACACAGGCCCATGTGTTAGTGACGACAGCAGCGTTTGCACTTTGAGCTCAAAGCTGACGGCCAGTTGTCATGGCGAAGCTCTTATCTTGTGGGAGCTGAGCCTGGAGGTGGAAATCGGTGCCAGTCCTAGGTCTCTTTGGACTGGAGCTGCCTGTGCAGGTAACTGGGACTTGCTGCAAGCTCAGGAAGGGTTTTGCTGAACAGGAACCAACTCTAGAACGTGTGAGTGGCATCACCAAAGACTCTGGGCCTGGGCTTATCTCTCCTGTTGTATGTGAAGATGTGTCTGAGAGCTCTGCAAGATCATGGGCCCAGAGTTGCACACCCAGCAAAATGGCCTGGTCGAGTGGCGTTCCCCGGGCTGGAGCCCTGGCCCTGGGCTGCCGTCAGTGGAAAATGGCACTGCCCTGTGCCTTGCTTGTGCCACGTCTTCTGGAGCCCTGGCTCTTTCCCGGGTTTGCACAGTGTGTGAGCCCCATCAGCCCTCCCTGGAGGGAGAGCAGAAATTGTGACTCAGCCTTGCAGAACTGCTTTGTGCCAGGTGGGAGCTGCAGGCCTGGTGCGGTGGTGGAGGCCACTTCTGTCTTCCTGTGCTGAGAAGGCAAAGTCTCTTGCTCTGTCCTCAGACCTTGTAATACAGGCTCCCAAGTGGCTGTGCTGCTCCGTGGGACAGGCTTGTGCTTTGCAGCATTTGGGCAGCTGGAATGAGTGCTGCCAGTCAGGGAGCTGTGGGGGACTCTCTGGAGGGGAGATCTGTGGCTCCCCACATGCTGTAATGTGAGATCCTTGCTTTGCCTTCACAAACTTTCCAGCCTTGCCTCTGGCTCAGGCTGGGTTCCTCGTGACTAGGTGACTCAAGCGGTCAAGCAGGCAATGGCAGCTTGTGTTGCGGTACGTGGTGCCTGGGCCTCTGAGCCTCTTGGGTGGGTATCAGACCTGTGCTGTGGGAATAAACACAGAAATCTGGTTCTCAGCACGAGATGAATCGTGTCTTCCAAACAAGTGGCTTTATTGCTCTGAGCAGCTGTGGACTTGTCCCCTCCTGAGGCTGAGGCAAAGCTGTGCGTCTTTCTGGTTGTGGATCATTAAGACAGATGGATCAGAGTCAGATGTGATCAGGCCTAGCTGCAAGCTGGGCATTGAGTGATGAGGAGATAAGCCTCTTGCTGCCCTCTGGTTTGGGTCTACCCCTGCCAAGGGTAAATCCAGAGTTGTGTGCTTCTGCTGCTCTCCCAGGAATGC